CCCTACCAACCTCTGCCTACTTAAATGGAACTCTACGCCGTGACTAGCTCCAGAAGGCACCAAGAACCATTTGGGTTATACCTTCAATGGCTCTCCATTGTTCTCGGGATAAAGTCCTCATGTCTTAGCAAAATTTATGGGCCCTTCTTGGCTTTTTATGATTCTCTTTCTAACCCCCTCTCCCACCACTGCTTCTTCTCATCTTAGATTTTGACCAAACATATCTTGTGACTTCATATCCTGCCTTGCGACATGTAGCCTACTTTCTTTGTTATTCCCACCCACCTGGCTACCTGACCACATCCTTCTAGTGCCGCAGGACTCTGCCCGCCTTCCTCTTCTCCATCTATTTGATCCCTAACTATTCCTATCTTTAACCTTGGGCTGGGTTTGTGGTGTATAAAGGCAGGTTTGATTTCTTCCACTCTGCTTTTTTCTCTTTCTTTGGTTTTGTTCTTTTACCACTACATCTAACCTGTGAATATTATTATTAATCATCCACCCATGGTACTCTGCTACTTCAAACATTTCAATGATATTTATTTGATTTCTGGATGAGAGAGGATTTTCTAAGCATAAAAGCAATGGAAGAAATCACTAAGGGAAAGAAAATCAATCCATTTGACTACACCAATTTTAAAACTTCTAGACGTCAGAAGCCATTCTAAACAAAACTAAAAGGCAAACGACAAGGCTGGGGAAAATATATGCAATAAATATGACAAAGGGTTGTTATCCTCAATATATAAAGAGCTCATATAAGTCGATAAAAAATATTAAAATCCCAGGAGAAAAGGGGGCAAACGACATGAATAAGTAAATAGCTAATAAACACATGAAAAATGTTTAACTTCACCAGTAGTCAGGGAAGTGCAAATTAACACAACGCTGAGCCATTGTTTGCCTGTCAAATTAAGACAACATTAAAGGCTGGGGAAGGCTCAGAGATCATTTGGTAGTTTTCCAAGAAAAAATAAAAGCTGTTTCAACTTTCAATAAATCCCTACCACCTAGAGGAAAAATCCGGGGTCTAGTCCTCACCTGGCTCTCCTGGCTCATCTCCCAACATGTCGCCCCCCCACCGCCCCATCTGACACCGGCAACAGTAATCTCCTGAGCACAGCAAGGAAATCCCGCTGCACACTGCCCTTCCTGGGTCCTCTGTCCCTCTCGCCTCCACCTTCTCCCACCCACCCAATCTTTTTCTGCTAACGCCTACTTCTTGACAATTCTGAGACATCGCCACCTTTGGGAAACTCTCGTAAGCCGGGTTGGGTGCCCCTGTGCTGTGCTCTCATTACACACCTTCCTTATTTAGCACTTACCACATGATATTGAAAATGACTATGCGTTTCGTTCCACTTTAGAGTGTATGCGCCTCAAGAGAGGCATTATATTTTTATTCATTGCTGTATCGTGGAGATGCTCAACAGATGACTCGAACTAATCAATCATGTAATAAATTATTCCATTTTGCCCCATAAATTTTTGCCACTACTCTGGTAAATGCACGCTTTACTTAAAACGGATCAAATTAAGTCATGTTGGATGGAGAGAGTACCTCACCCATGTCCCAGCCCTCATTTTAGTACCCATGTACTATCATCCTGTGGGTTGTAACCGATTAGTGAGCCATGAAATTAATTTATGGGTCACAACCATCATTTTTTTAAGTGAAAAATATTAAAACTAGAAGGAAATGGGATGACACTGGTATCTGTTACTCCCTTCCCATCATGGATTCCCCCGCCCATCCCGCCATCCCCAGGCAGGCAGGAGTGTTTGGTTGAGGACGCAGGTGGGGAGTTGAACTTCCTGCTCTGATTCTTCCTAACTCCAGGAAAGCTACTGATCTCCCTAGGCTGTGGTTTCCTTATCTGTAAAACAGGAATGATAAAAACACAGATGGGATGAAACAGCAAGGACCCAGTTATGCCACAAATTCTTAAAACTCTGCTCATCAGCTTTTCTGACATAGAGATAGCATCAGTATCCACCAGAAGCCTCCAGCACTTTCTGTTCTGATGCCTAGCCCCTCTTCCTCCTTCCTAACCAGTTGTCCATCCTGCTTCGACCATGATTGAGTCACGAGCCCCTCAGACTCAGGGGGGAAACAGGTATTCAGTGGCATCAGGCAAATTTATGGGCCCTGGAGCCTAACATCATAGGGCATGAAGAAAATGACTCTTTCAAAATTGCTAATCTGACCTAGTCACTCCCCTGCTTAAAGCCTTTCTATGGTCCTGATTATGCTCAGATAAGGCTCTGGCTCCTCAATATGATCTATAGGGTCCTCCATGATCTGACACCCTGTCCATCCCACACTCCAGCCTCCACAGTCACCTGCCTTTCTCAAATCAGCCATGCTGCCCTGGCCCTTTTCTGTGTTGTCCAGTCTGCCCAGAACACCTCTCAGTCCCATGACAGTCTTGACAGGGGCAACTGTTCCCCCCAGGTCTCTTTCCTGACTCCCCCACCCCCTGCTCTGCACCCTCCGTCACCACATTGCCCGTCTGCTGCTCATTTATCCCTCTTGCTTCCTAAGGACAGGGATGGACAGCCCCAGCACCTAGCACACTTCCCCCCAGAGTGAGCAAACAGGACATGTTTATGGGAGGGAATAGATGAGAAGGGGGGTGGAGGAGGATAGAGGGACGAAAGGAAGAAAGAGATGGAAAGTCTTCATGTGACAGCTTCCCGAGATGTCCCAGGTCATAAAGCAACGCAGGGGCTTGGGGCTGTAAGTCATTTCTAAAGATCAGGCTCATGTGGGCACACAGAGGATAGTCTCCAGAGAGAAGGAACTATGGAATGAGGCAGGTCAGGGTGAGCACCCAGGTGAGCTGGATGCCAGGAACATGTGTCCATCTGGAAGATTTCACAAGCTGGAGGAGTCTCCCTGGGCCATGCTCTGGAGGAATGTGAGCTTGAGCAATCAACCCTGGGAACACTGATAAGAGGCCAAGAGTTTTGACTGTCTTCATGTGAACATACTTGGGGTAGGGGAGGGACAGGGCTGGGCCACTCTCCCTATAACAGTGGTGATTCCAGAACTTTGGCCACTCAGTTCCAGAGCTTATGAACAGAGACCCCTGCTTGGGTAGAGCTACGGTAACTGCGGTGCTACCTCTGGGTCACCTGCCTCAGGGCAAGAGGGAGGCGGGGCTTTGGGAGAGATGCATTAATATTGGCTAATGAGTACCGGGCACACAACCAGGCATTTCACATACACCACTTCATTTGATTGAAATACCAACCCAGTGAGGTAGGAAGCAGCCTTGATTTTATAGATAAGAAAGCTAAGGACCAGAGAAGTTAAGTAACTTGTCCAAGCTTACACAGTAGATGACAGGGCCCAAATTTGAACCTAATTCTGTTTGATTTCAGAGATTTTATTCTTTTCACACTCAATTCCTCTCCCTGAGTAATTCCTTCTTCATTCAGAATTTGAGTCAGGCTAGGAGGGGGTGCATGTCATGGAAGATCTACCTCCATAAACAAAGATGCTAGTGAACCTGGGATGTGTCCATCCTCTGGGAAACCACACCTGGCTGGATCCCCTGTGCTCACCAACCAGACTCTCTTGAGGAGGAGGGTAACTTCGGCCAACTCCCAAAGGAGCCAAGAGGAGTAGGGCTGCCTCCCTCCCTCTCCAGATGGTTCTTCTACCTCAACCAGCACCTACCTTGTCCAGAGACCTCTTATTTGTCCGGCACTGGAGACAAAAGAAAAACTACACAGCAGCAGAATCAGAGATCCTACAGTCTAGGAGACACTTCCCGGTGTTCAGCAACCTCTCCCTGCAGCAACCCCAGGGCTGGGGGAGGGTGCCGGGACTCGCTGGGGCTCACAGAAAGGAGGTGACTCCGGACGTGGCTCCAGGGATGCTAGGAAACTTCATCCCCACCTGCCATGCCTGGTGGAGGGTATTTAAGATGCCAACCTGCAGCTGCCTCTCTGGCTTAGGGCTCTGACCCGGGTTAAAAGGCGGGGGCATTTATAACTGTGGCAGCCATCACAACCTTAACAGAAAGTCGTTTCTAATCTGGTTAGGAATGCAGGTTTTGAAAGAAAGGGGAAAAACATAAAAACAGGAGGACTGTGGATGTCTTTTTGTGGAGGCCACAAATGGAAAAGTCCAAGTGGCCTTGTGGACCTTTCCTATTCACAGCCTACCAGCAGGACGAGAAAATTTGAGACACTTAGCATGTGTTCAGAGCTGATGGGAACAGACGATCTAATAAGGCACCCCTGTCATCATGAATCCATCCATCAGTCCAATGCTAGCTGACTCCAGCTTTCTGCTCCTGACTCCATTTCCCTAGTGGGAATGGTATACATCGTGCTGGTCAGAAGCATCCTGCTTTCCAGGAGAGAACGGACTGTGCCCAATGGCACATTTCAGTGACAAACAAGGCCCCGATCTTGGACTTGGAAATATGGGTTTCTGGGTCTCTAGAATCAGACCGACACATCTGCTGACAAGTCAGGGCAGAGAAAATGAAGTGGGACCAAACACGACTATCAGAACCTGCTAAGCAGCACAGCATATGAATCAAGGCAGCCCCCAAGCCAGGACCCTCTCCCGAGAGCAAGGTTGGCTCTGAGATCCTGGGAGGAAGCAAAGTACGGCAGTCTCTCCTATATGCTTATGACGACAATCATGCAATTTGGATGTACATCTGGATTATGTCATTGTGATTCTGGGTCCCACAGAGGCCTCCAGTCATAAAAATGCCCCTCATCTTTCAATACTTGCAGAACAAACAGATCTCAAAAGCAAGGGGAACACATCCTTCATGGATATCATTGCTCATGTGGAAACTACTTTATGGGGGTACTTTTGCCCCAACTCTGAAGGGTCTTTCAATATCTCTTTTTGGGTCATACATACGAGGTATCCTCAGGATTCTTAGGCTCTCTTCTTCCATCCTCAGTTCTCAAATGCATCCCATCGCACCCCATGCATTTGAATTTGACTCAATAACCACTCACTCGACCAAAATCTCAGTGTAAGTTTACTGTCCTCCTAGTGGTAGCTAGGTAGAATTGCAGGCACAGGGACAAAAAGGGAAGGGGCTCACTTTCAAAGCCAAACCTGATAAGGGGAGGGGGGGGACCCAGATGCCTCGGGGACCAGGCAGATACTACAAATAAATGAACCAGACCGGGTAAGAGAGCACCAGCCCTATGGAAAGAGATAACTCCTACTGAGTTCCAGCTGATTGTCTTCTGAAAATGCATGTCAGAGCTGCCTTAGCTTCGGATTGTCTATGAGAGGCCAGAGACTGATTTTAACGTGAAACCTTGTGATTTTTAGACGCTGGTTCAATTTCCCTGAAAACACTAGGTGAGCTAAATAAAGCAGACGCTCCGCCAGTTTCTAAAGCTCTTCTGCACAGAGGGGGCCTGTTGTTTCCCATAACTGCCACTCACCAGCCACCACTGGCAATTGCAACGGAGGCCACCAGCTATGCACACACAGCTCCAGAGCCTTGGAGAACACCTAACACTACGGGAGGCAAGGGGAGGGGGAATGGAAGGCTCCGAGGAGCCGAGGAGCCAGCCGGGGACGGCAGCAGGCACTAAATGGCCGACTGCTCCTGCAGGAAACCTTCAGGGCCTGGGAGGCCTTTGTCTGTCTCAGCAGCCAGGGCTGCTTCTCGAAGGACTTCCAAGTGTTCCTCAGCAGCTGACAGTGACTGGTCAATCCAATCCAGGCCCCCGGTCAGGTGGCAAGCATTCCTGGTCACCAGCACCAGATGACTGACCGACAGGAGCAGGGCAGTTGTCCTAGAAAAAGCAACAGGATCGGTTTCCCCGGGAAAGAAGGGATTTTGCACCAAAGCCCACACGGACAGACTCTAGTCTGGTGTTCCCCAAACTGGAGGCCCTTCGCCAGAAGGCTGGGGAGTAATGAAAAGATGGTTCCACACTCAAATAAATCTGGGAATGGCTGGTTTCAGCAAGGTTTAACCGAAGCCTTCTCTGGGCCTTAAACGTGCATGATAAAGCTCTCGGGAAAGAATACAACGTGCCATGGCTTGCTAACTTATTTAAGACTGGGGAGCCTATTTTCTGCAGCACACCTATGAACATCTCCTGGATGAGTGTTTTGTGGGACAGCTTGGATCTAGTCAATTGGATGAGCACATCCCCAACTGCTGCCCACTTAAAGACAAGAAGGCTAGACATACCCCTGCCTGGGGCAACCCTTGTGGATTTTGAATCAATAAGGCCCCGGGCTGGTTTACACCACTCTAAAAACAAAATTTAATTCAAAACCAAATTGAGGGGGAGTGGGTTTTTTTTTTTTCCCAGTATTGGAAGATTCCCCGTAGAATATCATTTATACAGTGCATGTGCATGATGCATTTGGGAACCTATCACACAGTACCAGCCCGGGACACAGCGGGGCAGCAATAAGAGCGGGACAGAAAAGCCAACCTAAGCAGTGTGAGCCACTGTGTCTCTGACAATCATCACACACAACAGCTCTAGGAAATAGTCATATACATCCGAGAGACAAAAGAATCTGGTTTCTTTTAATGGGTTTGCATCTGGTAGAGGAACGTAATTTCGAAAGCCTAAGGGTGCTCGGTGTACTAGGGGAGGATCGTGAGAGGCGAGGGGTCCCGGGTATGTCCTGTGGAAGGTGAGCACAGCTTGAGCTGACCAGTCCCCTTCCTTCCCCTTGCCCTGCTCACCACCTGCCCCACCCAGAGACTGGGCAGCACTCACAGCCGGGGTGTGTCTGCTTCCAGGGTCCAAGGAGCAGAGGCAGACGATGGAGAAAGTGGGAGGGAGGGAAGGTGCAGATAGGACTTAGCGCGGCCAGATGTTTTAGTGTAAAAATTCAAAATCTAAGACTGGCTCTCCCCAATCCCAGGTTTCAGGGAGAGCACAGGCCTCTCACCATTCACACTGCAATGAATGGTGCCCAAAGCCCAGGTAGCTCTGGGAGCCCAACAAAACAGCCCTCTCCACAGCAACCCAAACAGCAAACCTCACAGATGTGATAAAACGGGGAGCTTCCAGCATGAGAAGCCGAATGGCCCCTCCACCACTCTCACCGGGCATCCAGGAGCTTGGGGTCCAACGGAGGGTACATCGATCTCACCACATCGTCCACTCTGTGTGGAGGCAAAACGTTTTCAGAACTTCACTTTCCTTCTGTCTTTTTCTCCTTCCTCCCTTCCTACCTCTCCTTGTCCCAATTCTTCTCTCCTGATCTTCGAGCCCCCACCTTTGGTGATTCCTTCTCTAACGGCTTTTGCATTCTCAGACAGACTTAAACAGAAAGAATTCTGGTTCAGTTGAGAGAATATTTTGTTTTCTGGTTTCAAGTCCCCAGAGTTTAAAAAGTGTAAGTTCACACATCTGGAATGATGTTCGAGATACGCTACTAAATTAAAGAGGCAAGCTGCGGAACACTATATAAAGGTTTGACCGATCCGCTTGCATGAAAATGAGTAAACAAAAGCTATGGTGTGCAGGAGTGGGGTAGAGTGCAGTAACACTCCCCATTCACTAGTGTCACCTCCAGGGATTGGGATGGAGTGGAATTAGGGGTTCCTTCACTTTCCAGATACTCTATCTCTACAGTGTTTTAACTTTTATAAGTATTATTACTATTGTGTTTTAAAAAATGGTGGAACATAGTTATATAGAACACTAAAAAAAACCCTACAAGTTTAATTTGGGTTCAAACTGCTTCATTGGATTCCCTTTCCATTACGGTACAATTCGTGGTTAATTTTTTTTTAAACCAAGTTCAGAAAGGAACTACTATTCATTCTGATTTGCAGGGTTCAGATTTTCATCCAAATCCTTGCTCCTGGACCACTTGATAGTCAGGAAGAAAGAATGATGATGCATTGTTTGATTGTGAAAAGCACTTGAAAATAGATGCTCTCCAGTGTTCTTGTCTCGGGGCTGGTGAGGACATGCAGAGGAACGTGGGCTGCTGTCTTCACGGCCCCTTTCTCTGTAGTGCCCTGAAGCTGAAGCCACTGGCCTCGAAACTCATATGCTATCAACACGTTATGTGAAATAAATGGAGCAAGAAAAACAATAGGGACAAAAAAACGGCCAGAAGTAGAAAGATGTGTAAAGGCAAAAAGATAAAGCAAGGACACAGATTGAATTATGGCACGGAGCATTCTAGAAGTAGTCCAAGGGGCTTGGTAGGAGGGGCCAGAGTGCACTGGGTTAGGTGTGCCCTCTGAGCCACGCCACACCCTCCCTCTGGCACCAGGGCTAATCCTCACGGGAAGCACGATGAAGGTGGGCAGAGATGAGCAGTGCAGAGTCTCCACCAACAATGGGTGGCCAGTGGAATGCCTGGTGCTTGCCCAGAGCCTGGGCTGGAGGGCCTTCTGGCCAGGCTGATGCAAGTCCTATAGCTGCACCCACCGGGGCCAGCTCCACAGAAAGCCAACAACTGTTCTGGGCTGAGTCCCTCCCCCGGATTCTCTCCCTCCCACTTTCTCAACTCACTGAACGCCCTGGACAGAGTTCAAGTGCACCAACTCTCATATTCCTTCAGAGGGCTGGTTCCTCGTGATCTACCCGAGGCCATGCAACCAGGAAACCGAGAGCCCCTGAAACTCACAGCGAGGCCACCATTCACACCAGGGGTGTGGAGGCACCCCGCTGACTGAGAAAACAGCCCGCGCGGGGCCAACGCCCAACTCAGGCACATCCACATACCGGCCACCAGGTGGCAGCACAAACTCAGTACCACCCTTCTCCCTAAGAAAAGGGCTATTTCTCCACAAAGTCAAGCCCAAATGAGGGGGTGTAGTTGTTGATTGCCTCCCACATGGGATTTTGCAGACAGCCTGGAATTTGGGAGATCTGAATGAAGTATGGCTTCACCTCCCCTACCCCCACCCACCAGGTCCTGGAGGCTACTGGCTGGGCCATGGCTGGGGCAGTGGGATGACAGGGAGGTAGCAAGGAGTGGGTCCCCGAAACTAGTCTCTGGTACAAATAGGGCCGGGGCGGGGCATAGCCAGCAGGTCACTGCACAGAGAGGTGGACACCAGTGGGAAATGTGCCTACTGGTCCAGAGCCTGGGAAGGAGGGAAGCAGGCAGCCCCAGCTGGTATGGGGCTAAGGGAGAGGAAGCAACCACAGTGGGATCTGCAGAATGGACTAGAAGCGTCGGCACTAGTCGCATGCTAGAATTCCCCAAAAAGCTGACTGGAGGGGGCCTGCGGGAGGTGGGGGGAACCTTATGAGACCACCCTGGCTTGGCTCTCTCAGTATCTAAACCCTCCTGGATGCTCTGTAAATGTCTGGCACACGAGTAACTAAAGTTGTCTATGTGGTTTCTTCAAGGAGCCTGGCCCACCTGTCACCTCAGCTTCTGACCCCTCCCTCCCCCTACCGCACAAACCGCCCACCCCCCCCCCCGCCCCGTGGAGTGTGGGGACCTCAAGGCCCACCAGCTCACCTGGGGCTGATCCGCTTGGCCACCACGATGATGTCACTGACACTGGCTGAGGTCTTCATCTTGGCCCCGGAGCCCATTGTCATGGCAACAAGTTTTTCTGTCAGAGTGTGACAAATCTAACACAGCAGGGAAGAGAGAGGTGATGAGGGGTACCCTAGCCCCCCAAGAGCGTCTGCCACTCCCACAAACAAATATGGCCCCTGCCTTGGGTTCCATCCCACACCCCGGGGCCCCTAACCTAGTGGGCAAGTTGAAGTCAAAAGCACACAGAGACAAGAGGAGGAAGAGGCAAAAGCAGAGAACAAGGCCCGGTGAGGAGGGAGGGGTGGGAACCTCAGAGCAGGGTCAGTGTTTCAGCTTAGAGAAGTCTAAGCCGAAATAATCTGTCTAAGAAAAATCATGTGCTCTAATTTCACCTTCTCGTTTCAGGGGAAAGACCTACTTTCTCTTTCTATTCCTCCATCTCATGGTTTAGTCTTCCAGAAGGTTAAATCTCTCCAGCAGGGCACCCTCAGAAACACCCTCTGGACAAAGGGCAACTGTTCCCTTGAAGCACATCCTCCAAAAGCGGCACTCAGCTCAACAATTTTCTAGGGTGATACTTAGCATGTTTGTCAACAGGACAATGGTGAAAGGATCTTCAAAAAAAGCAGGGAAAACGCAAGACTATGACACGAGGCCTTTGTCACCATCCGTCAACAGTGCTGGCCACCCCAAAAGCTTTGTTTCCTCCCTTGCACACCTCGATGTTAGAACCTCGATGTGCTTCTGTCCCTGGCAAGTAGGTTCCATGACCTGCCTTATACTTGGGGCTGGAAAGGAGAGCAGAAAGAAGGCCAAGAGCCCACAGGGACCCAAGGGCATGTGGCCAAGCAAAAGGGACATCAGATCCCAGGGCCTCTCCTTTGACGGGAGACTCAGGATGGGCCACTGATTCCAATCCAGTAGGACTCCCTTCCTGCTGACTTATCCCCCACCTCAGCTGTCACCTCCTTCTCTAATAGGCCCTCACAGGGACAAAACCCAGCGCCAGGACCCATCCTAGCTGGGAGACGGGAGTGGAATACAGCATTATTGCTTACTCATTAGACCTATCTATCTGTAACCATATCTACACCCAAAGAGCTTCTTGGAATTAAATAATCCTGGACTTGATGACAACAATTTCCTACTAGGCACTCCTCTGACCCCCAAGAGAGACAGCTAAAGGAGAGGTGGGATGAAAGACATTTTAGCTTATTTATTTATTTATTTGTAGGCTCCATGCCCAGCCTGGAGCCCAACACCAGGCTTGAACTCACACCCCTGATATCAAGACCTGAGCTGAGATCTAGAGTCAGACGCTCAACTGACTGAGCCACCCAGGCGCCCCAAAAGGCTTTTTCGTATGTTGTACTGAATGACACCGAAGAAACGATAAAGCTGTCTTTTTGGAAATGTTGAATAATTACTGGACAAAAAGATAAATGTGTGGTTTCCCAAGTTACTGAGAGGAAGAACACAACAATATCTGCAACTGGCCAAATATTTCACTATTATTATTATTCTATCAGGCAAGAATTGAAAAACAAATGCTAAAACTATAAAAATTACCCCAAACTATAAAACCTAGCCAAAATGCAGATTGGATGCAATTTTCCACCCAATCGTGGAGGCAGCAAGAGTTAGAGAAAAACCAATCTGCCTTCAAGTACTCATGGTTTGGATTTTTCAACACTGATTGTCCCATTCGACAGACTACTGTCCCAGCAAGAAAGGGCCACTGAGGAACTTTCTAGTAACTGGAGAAGTCCAGACATGGAACTTAACTCGCTGAGCAAAGGGCCGAGCTCTCTGTTAATGAAAGAAAGTGCCCAGGGAGGGGGTGGGGAGCCCCGCTCCCCCTCGGCAGCCACACAGACTTCCCCAATGGGTGAAAATGTGGCTAGTGACCACCTACGCAGTCACTGTATTGGGAGGACCAGGTAAGACAAAACCTTTGAAAGGGTGTGAGAGCGCTAAAGTGTTACAGACCATCCAGGAGGGAGTAGAAACAGTAGAAATTCCAAGTGTCAGGCATGTTTTTAAAAAGCCTCTTGCATGGTTCGGTGCCCTTCCTAGAAAGATCCCTTTCAACAGTCTGTGCACGGTGGTGCTTTGATGACCCCCCCTTACGTCATGAGAAATCAAAAGTATTACCTTCAAGATGGCAATGCAGTGGGACATGAGACCCCTGCGGAGACAAGAAGAATCTGTCAGTGCTTCTCTTTCGAGGCCCCCCCCTGGCTCCCACCACCAACTCTGCCCCCATCTAGCTCTGACCCACCTGGACACCGCCCAAAGCAGGAATGCCTCCAGGTTCAACTGAACAATTCCAGGAGCTAAATGAGGAGGCACCTTCTTTCCTTCCCTTTCCCCCGCCCACGTCCAGCTGCCTCTTCCAGGTAGCGCTCACTTGTCAAGTTATGCTTTCTGAGCTTCTGATGCTGTTCCCTCCAGCCCAGGTGTCCTTCCCCTTATCCTCAGCCTGGTGACCACCTCATCTTTCAAAACCCAGGTCAGAAGGCACCCATTTTGTGGTAGCCTTCACGAGAGCCCCCTCCACCTCCACATCCCAGGCAGCTCTAGAGGTCACCAACACTGTATGCCCACAGCACCGTGCACAGGGACCTGCTCTCGCTTTGGATACTGTAATGAGTAGAATTCTGTCTCTCCCACCAGTTTAATATCTGCAGTAACTGCCCCAGTGTCCCACACATGATGCCCCCCCCACATCTGCCCAGTGAATGATAAGGGCTCGGAGCAGCATACAATTCTCAACATGTAGAGGCTCCTGCTGGATAGAGGGACCCCTGAGGGATCCCGAAGACAAAGGCTTCATCCGTGGAGCCTGCGTACCAAATTCACAGGCACCCCAGGGATAACCCAGGCACAGCAGGGTGACCTTGTAACGAGTTTTACCAGACATCTATGGGCCTCGGTGTTTAGGTCTACAAAACGGGGGCCGGGGCGGGGGGACAGACACTGTCATATCTGATTCCCCACCCCCCACTCCATGCTGGGGGCAATGAGCAGCAAGTGGCCCAGTGCTCCCGGATGCCCAGTAGTGCTTGGCAAAGGAAGCCAGAAAAGAGCACCCAGAAGCCCCATGTGCCATCCTCAGGGGAGTGGAGCAAACAAACGGTCCCTAAGGCCTTACGAGGCATCTTCAATCCAGTCTTCATTCTCCAGGATGGCCTCGATGTGGGGATTGGTGATGACCACATCGTCCAGTTCTAGCTCAGACGGCTCCGACTGGGTCTCCATGGCGCCAATGAGGTCCACAATGGGCCTGGAAGGAAAAGCCCAAGAGAGTAGTTTCAGGATGGGTGGCTGTTGCTGACCCTCCCCTCACTGAGGCCCATGTATCCCCCAGCAGGATGTAGAAAGTTAGTAAGTTAAAGCACTGACCTCATGTCCTGGATCCAAACCTAACCCTAGTGGGACTGCAAGTGTGGGCAGGACACATGGCTAGAGGTGAGTCAAGGAGGCAGGTAGGGGTGCAAAGAAGAAGAGTGAAGCAGACTGAGATGAACCACTAAGAGAAAGAGCAGAACCACAGCCATAAATACAGAAATGTATTAGACAAGGCTGTTCCTTCTGCACAAAATAACATCCTTTTTAAACTTATTTTCCCCTTGGGGAGCCTGGGTGGCTCAGTCAGTTAAGCGTCAACTCTTGCCTCAGCTCAGGTCTTGATCTCAGGGTCGTGAGTTCAAGCCCTGCGTTGGGCCCCATGCCTAGGTTAAAAAAAAAAAGAAAAAAAAAACATATTTTCCCTTCAAGCCTACCTGATACTGAGAGGCTGAAGTTCCCATTACCCAAACCTACCTGGTCTGCAGAATCATTCTCGGGAAGGACTGGAAGGACGTTGGTCTGCATAACCCCACCCCCTCCTCATTCTACAGGATAAGTGGCAGAAGTAACAACACCCACTTTACAACAAGGTTCTTTAAAACATGAGACGCCATAGCCTTCCATTCAATAGCAGAGCTTTCCTGGGTCATATAAACAGGCATTTACAAATTATTCACCACCTGACAGAGACACTGATAGGATTCAGTAAAAGGGTAAGAGAAACTAAGGGTTAGTTGTCATGGTCCCTTAGGGGTCTACCAATTAAAATATCCCTAAATGGAAAATAGGATCTTGCTCATAAAATCTATTGCACACAAAATGCATTATGAAGAAATCTGCACAAATAAGGAGACCGTCCCATGCAGGGATTTCACAAAATTGAGCATCCGCTGCTTCCCTGTGTGGCTGGAGTGCAGGCATGGGGTTTCTGTTCCTATGCCTTTGGTTGGATTGTGCTAGGTGAACACGTTCAGGGAATCTCTCCTTAGCTCAGTGACAGAGTCAGAGAAGGCTCAGGACATCGCTAAAGCTCCAAGGTCCCTCTTGGAAAGGAAGCCTTCAAGTACCATTTTAGAGACAAAAAGCTGAGCTCGAGCTGCCCAGTGCCAAACTTCTTGGGCCCCTCTCTCCTCCGGTTGCTGGAGCCCCTGGTGGAGCCCACCTCTGCTCCCTGCCCTCCCCGGGCCCACTCACTTGGAATCGTAGTGCTGCAACAGGTCTCGAGGCCGGCAATAACGCTGCCTGCACACCATCACCAAGGCTGCAAACGAGGCCAGGAAGATGGTGGCCAGCACGCCTATCGCAACAATCACCACAGTCTCCATGCTTCTGGGGGGCTCCCTCTGTCCCCGTCACATCCCCAGCATGGGCTAAATCTTAGAAGACACAAGGGCAGAGGAGGCCTTCGTAAAGAAGCAGCGAAAGAGAGTGGGATGGGGGGGGTCTTACCTGCCTTGGGGGGCATAGAGAGCCAGGTTCCCCCAATTCACCTGCAGAGACCAAGTTACCTGCTGGGGGTGGAGGGCACAGAAAGCCTGGTTCCCCCAAGTCACCTGCAGAGACCTGAGGGCCTGAATAGAATCAAGATGCATTTTATGTCCTGCCCCAAATTTGCCTTTTGTTTAATTAAGAGTTTGCCACCTGCCAGAACAGGATGGCCTTTTAAATCTGGACAAAAGGACACATTTTAACTAGCACTATTGTTTCACATCTCCACCAACTGCATGAAAGAATATCCTCCTAAGAAGGGGAGGATGGCATTTACTGAGAATCTCCTCTGTGCCAGGCACTTTGTGTGTTAACCCTGAAGTAGGTATTAATAGCCCGTTTTACCATTGAGAAAACTGAGGTTCGGGGAGGTTAAGTAATTTGTCCAAGTTTCTGTAGTCAGAAAGTAGAGACCCATCCACTTAAAGTGAGATGGGCATTCACCTCCCTTTTCCTTTCTAAGGAGGGAAGAAGATTCTAAAAATTCTGGAAAGGGATTTGACTGTCAGTTTCAGTGTTGGAAACTTACAACTGGTGTTAAAGTGTTCTTTGCCTACTGCCTGTTTTCACTCAGGAGGTTCTTCCACACCTATTTTAGACTACGGCAGAGAAACAAGGGCACCTCGGAGAAGTATGTATTCGTTGCAGGATCCTACTTCTGTGCCTTTGAGCAAGTCTCTTCCCCTTGTCTGGGCTTTAATTTCTCCACCTGCAAAAGAGGGGCTTTGGTCTAGGAGTCCAGGACGATGGACTTACTCTAAACTACATGTCTCTGAGGGTCCAAATGTTCCCGGTTGTCATTCAATAAGTATTTATTGGTCATCTGCTAGGCACCAAGCACTAGGCAGAATTCTGAAGACTGGAGATAAATAAGACATGGACCCCAAACCTTGAGGAGGGAGAAAGAGGTGGGCAGGAGGACAAATGTTTGCTGTTCGCTTGTCAACCTCTTCCCCAGCTCCTCAAATCCGTGTCTATGCCACATGGCAGGGTACACAGACAAGAGATAACTGTACTTGCATGCCTTCTGGGCATGCCTTCTTCACAGGGCAGGTGACGTTTGAGCTGGGTTTTGAAGGATGAGTAGGAGTTTGCCGGGTGGACAGCATGCCAACTTGGTTGGCTCAAAGCCAAGGAGGCCTTTCTCAAAGCTTCCACAGAGCAGCTGGTCTACCACCTCAAACTCACTTGCTCAGGAGGGTGAGAAGGCTAGGGTCGGCCTCTTTCATTTCTGTATCTCCCGTGGGGGGTTGGGGAAGGCAAGAGGTAATCCTCAGGGTCTGCCTCAATTTCTCCAGATGTGTGTTTCTCTACACCGTCCCTCCTAAAGGGCTACCTGCTTTAGCCCTTTTTCTTTCCTCTCATTTCTGTGTCTCTATCTCTGTGTCTCTCCATTTTCCTCTCCAGACATCTTGCCCCCTCCCCCTGCGCCATGGCCTCCAAGACCACCCGCTTTGTTTCCTCTCTTCCCGCGGCCATTTGAGTGTGTTTCTCTGAGGCGGACGAGCTTTCTCTGAGTTTTTGCTACCTTACTCCGGGATTTGTCTGTATGAGTCTTTGTGTGTTTTTCTTCTCTGTGTGTTTCAGGATGAGTTTTTGACTCTTCCTCTTTGTGTAAGCTTGGGTAGGTCTCGGTTTCTTGGGGGGGGGGGGTGTGTCCCACCCTCTTCTCCTCCATGGGGTTCTAAATCCACCAGTATAAAACAGCCCAAGCCCCTACCTCCTCCCCTCTGCCCGACCACCCAGAACAGCCGCCCGGACACCCAGCTCGGAGGAAGGGAACCCCACCCGGCGCGGCGCGGGGCTCGCAGGGCTCCCAGGCGCGCAGCTCCAACTTTGCCCAACTTGTGGGCGGCCCTGCTGCGCCGCGAGGGCTCGGCGGCCCCAACAAAGGGGCGGCCGGCCCGGGGCCCCCCTCCTCCCCAGGCATCAGCCCCAATCTCCGGGCGCCCCCTCCAGCCCCCCGCGCGCCCGGACCCCCTGGCTCCCGCGGCACCGGGGCGCGGCGAGGCCCACCCACCTCAGGCCGCGGCCGCAGAACGCATCCCCAGGGGCGCTTCGGCCGCCCGGCCCCGCCGATGGCAAAGTCCGGGCGCGGGACTCGCGGGCGGCTCCTGCGAGCGGGGCATGCCGGGAAGGAGCTGGGCTGTCCGAAGGAATCAAGATAAAGTCCCCGGGCGCCAACCCCCTGGTGGGGGGGGGGGGGTGAGGCGAGCGGGAGGGGCGGCCGCCGCATCCAAATCCCCCGCTGCCAGGCGCCGCCGTCCCCGCCGGGCCCGGGGGGCAGGCCGGGGGTTGGGGCGGAGGGAGGCCCTCACTCAGCCACCCAGCAGGCGCTCCCCGAGCCCAGGCCGGGCAGAGGGAGGCCGCCGGGTCCTTGCCACTCCCCCCACCCCACCCCTGCCGGCTGGCCATCCGGTGGGGCTGCGGAGACCGAGCGGATTCCACAGTGGGCTGGTCAGGAAGCCAGTCTGATCTTACACACTGTGGTTTAAATCCTAGTTCTGCCACTCGCTAGCTGCGGACAGCTTATTCCATTTCTTTGTGCCTTGGTTTCCTCATCTGTAAAGTGGGACCGCCACTTGTAGGCATGCTCAGAGCTGCCTGGCCCAGGGTAAATGCGAATCAGTGAGAGTTCTCATTACAGCCTCACCCACACTGGGCATACAGCAGGCCCACCCCCAAACAGTTGCTGTGCCAGGGACAAGCATAGAAGTACAGGACCCTGGCAGGCTGTCCTGCCCCTTCTGTTCGCACTCTACTCTAGGGATCCAAGGGAACCCACATTATTCCTTCACAGCCCCCACTCTGCAAACAGCCATCCCTTGGCGATCCCTCAGGGGTAAAGATGCCCACCCCAAGAGGTACAGGATGCCTTGAAGGATGGAGGTCCACAGGCTCTGGAAACAGGTTGGGGCTTTTGGGGCCGACTCTTTTTTCCAGAGTCCAGTGACCCAGGAGGATGCTCTAAAAGGAGTCATGAGCTCTAGATGGTCATTCCCCTTAGCCTTCAAACTCCTACCCCTGTAAGAAAGAGACAGGACCGGAGTGAGGCCAACTAGAGCCTAGGGCTTAAGGCAGAGACCCAATCAACCAATCTGAGGTCAGTATTGGTGACAAGTACCAAAGGATGCACACTAGGTCCTGGGCAACTTAATGCAGACTCTGCAAACTCGTCACCCCTAAGCCACATGCAGCCCACAGAGGTGGGTTGTTGGTTTTCTTTTCTGACTTACAGTTAACAAACTAGTTGCCCACATTTTAAAAAATCAAGAATTTCACTTACACCTACAGATGTCCAGCTTCTCTGGGAAATTCATAAGATCTCTCAAAATGCAACCCACATTCATTTGGGAGTAAGGATAAGTAGGAGAGGGGCAGCAGCTGTCCCCAGGAATGCTCTCCTGGCCCACCACCTTCCCCACTGCATAGCATGCCTGCACATGCATTCACAGCTCACCTGTTTTGTTGAGAGCCTGGCAGAGTGAGCAGCTGTGGTTTCCCACTACCGGCACTTAGGGACGGGAAAGCTGAGGGTTGATTTTGCTACCCTCTAAAGTGCTTTCGTGGAGAAAGAATTCCTGTCTTCTTCCGAACTAAGAAGGGGCTAGGGGTCTGGGACTTCAGAGGGAAGGAATGTAAGTCGCAGGGCAATAAGAATCAGAGATGTTTGGTGATTAGATGTTTGCCAGGCCTTAAAGATGGATCAATCAGATAAAATTTATCTCTGTGGGGTGCCTGGGTGGTGCAGTCAGTTAAGCGTCCGACTCTTGTTTTGTTTTTTGTTTAAGATTTTATTTACTTACTTGACAGAGAGAGAGAGAGTGAGAGATACAAGTAGGCAGACAGACAGGCAGGCAGAGGGAGAGGAAGAAGCAGGCTCCCCATGGAACAGGGAGCCCAAAGAGGGGTTCAATCCCAGGACCCTGGGATCATGACTGGAGCCGAAGGCAGTCGCTTAACCAACTGAGCCACCCAGGCGCCCCCGACTCTTGTTTTGGCTCAGGTCATGATCTCAGGGTCATGGGATCGAGCCCTGCATCAGTTTCCATGCTCAGCATGGAGTCTGCTTGAGATTCTCTCTCCCTCACCCACTGTCCACCCTCCCCACCCCCCGGCTCATGCTCTCTCTGTCCCTCTAAAATAAATAAATATTTTTAAAAGAAGTTATCTTTACTAACAACGCTTATTCTGGAGAGACCCTCCAATTTAGATTCTTCTGTGTAGTTAAGGGAGGGACAAAAGTTTCTCTTGAGCCCACAGGGTCTCAACTGCCTTCAGTTCAAAATAATCCACATGCCAAAGTGGCACACTGTGGGGGGAGGGGCCTGTCCCAAACCCCTTCAGCTCTATCTGTTTAAGGAAAATGGGCTTACAGCAAAGCAGCAACCATCAGAATGGGTGATTGGGGACAGTAAGTGTTTCCATTTCTTAAAATACTCTGTGAAGAATGGAGTGCTATTTTTGTCTTGGGTATCTAACATTTGGTGGCCTTGAGGTAAGAAAGCTAAACCACATGATAAAGAGATATAGATAGATAGATGATAGATGAAAAATAGATAGATAGATAGATAGATAGATAGATATAACAATATTACTCAGTCATAAAAAAGAATGAAAGCTTACCATTTGTAACAATATGGAGGGCATAATGCTAAGTGAAATAAGTCAGTCAGAGAAAGACAAATAAATGATTTCATGCATAGGTGGAATTTAAGAAACAACAAAAATGAACATAGAAAAAAAGAGACAAACCATAAAACAGACTCTTAAATACAGAGAACAAATTGACAGTTACCAGAGGGGAGTGCGGGGTGACCCAACCAGGTGGAGGCTGGCTGTGTGGGAATCTGAGGCAGAACAAAGGAGACAGAAGTTTATTGAGTAATACAAGGGAGCTGAGCAGGACAGCGAGGGAGAGACCATCTGCCAGGGGGCAACGTTGAGGGCTGTAGTTACGGGGGAACATGAGGAGGTATGGGAACGAATGGTATTTTCCTTTTTCGGTATCTGTGTCCAGGTGCAAGTAACCCTTTGGTCAGCTAGGGCTTATGGCTATTTTTTAAAATTTATTTATTTATTTGAGGGAGGGAGGCAGAGGGAGAGAATCTTCAAGCAGACTTCAAGTGGTCTGGCTCCTGCCCCCTCCAACACATTTCTTTTGTCTTTTTTTTTTTTTTTAAGATTTTACTTATTTATTTGAGAGAGAACACAAGCAGGGGAAGGGGCAGAGGGACAAGCAGACTCCCCCCTGAGTGGGGAGCTGATGCCCAGGATCCTGAGACCATGACCCTTAACCAACTGAGCCACCCAGGCGTTCCTCATTTCTTTTGTCTTTAGCTGGAGGTGGTATTTCAGGTGGTGGTTTGGGCCATTTCAGGGAGTTAACTCAGTTTTCCTGGGTGTCTCCCATGTGTACAGGAGGTATACATGTTATTAAATTTCTGTTTGTTTTTCTCCTGTTAATCTTTTTAATATATGGGGGTCTCAAGCAAGAATCTAGAAGGGTAGAGGAAAAATTATTTTTCTTCTAAGACCAAAACAAACAAATGGTGTAAATGCCCCAATTAACCACCCACTACTTAGTTGCAGGGAGGACAGGATAGTACTAAGGCTGTGCCAGTGCCTTTACTAGCCACCTCTCGTCCTTCATTCTAGCAACTCCTGCCATCCCAATGCCCCTTGAAGTCTCCCTGGACTGATCTGAGATAAACACTCAGTGTTCTTACTTGCAAGCAATCGAAACTGATTACCCCATGTAGAAAGAGGACTTGTTGAAATGATAGGAGGTGCCCACAGAATCAGCAGGAAACGAAAGACCCTGATTAGGAAATGGGCAGGTACCAAAGGGCTCCAGGGGCTGGGTGCAATGGCCCTGAAATGATCGTGACCCTCCCTTCAACTTTACCTTTCCTTCCATATTCAAAGTTGTGGGTAGGAACTCACCCTGTCTGTCTCCAGTGTGGGAGGTGAGGCATAGGCAGTACCCTTCTTTCTGATACATCTGCATGCAAGGGGGTTTCCCCAAAAAAGGTAAGAGAGATGGTTACTGGACTGCTCCTCAGAATTCAAGCACCCTACATATGGCCTCTCCCCATTCAGTCTCAATGCCAAGCTGCAGCAAGGGTTTCCAAATTGAAGACTAAACCTGATGATTAGAGAGGAGAAGACAGCTGGTCAGAAATGGTGCTGAGGGATGGGGCACCTGGGTGGCTCAGTCGGTTAAGCATCTGCCTTTGGCTCAGGTCATGATCTCGCAGTCCTGGGATCGAGCCCTGCCATCAGGCTGTCTGCTCCCCCTCACTCTCCCTCTGTGCTCTCTCTGGCTCTTGCTCTCTCTCTCTCTCTCAAATAAATAAATAAAATCTTAAAAAAAGAAATGGTGCTGAGGGTAATATGGAGGAAAGAGACTTCCTACTGGCCAGTGGGTGCAAGCAAGGAGTGAACATTTGTTAAGCACCTATTATATACCAGACACTAATTAGGCATCTTACATGCTTATCTCCTTTAATCTTCTCACCATCCTTGAAAAGTCGGTATGATTATGTTTGTAAGAAAGAAAATAGAAGGGCAAGGCAACCTATCTGAGCTCTTACAACTTGTTTAAGTGGTAAGGCCCTTCAAGATCCTTCTGGCTGGACTAAGAATCATTTGACCTGAGACAGATTAACAGGGAAAAAATCAAATTTCATTTCATATTTAGCGGGAGTCCACACAGACATGTAAATTCCAAAGACAGTCAAGCGAAATGAGATATATATGTCTTTCTGAACTGAGGAGAAGGGGTAGGAGTCTAGGAATGAAATTCACAGGAAGATGAAAAAGAGTACATATTTGGTAAACAAATGTTTGGGCCACTCAGGAACAGTGGGACATGGAGGACTTTGATCAAACAGGCCTTGCCAGGCTCCTCCCTGTCTACCATACCCAGTTCATATCATAATGTATCTACCTATGGTGACAGCTCTCTTCCTGGCAGATCCTCTATCTAAATTCATTTTAGGCAGTTGAGGGGAAGTAAAGAGCTTTTCCTGAATCTGCTGGGCCAGAAGTCAAGCCCAGTACATATGATGGGTGACAGAATGTGGGGAGGAGCCCAACTTTTCCTCTAGACTAAGCCAAATCCCAGTGCTTGGGGCAGGAGGAGTCTAGGCAGAGCCAGAGACATCAAGACCCTCTCAGATCCCTGAGCACCGTCAACTCTCAGAGGGCAGTAGACAGACTGGAATCCTCACTCAGTTCTTTAGTCAGCTGGGTTGACAATTCCCCAGGACAACTGTGGGCTGGAAGAGGCTTGTGTCACCAGCCAGCATTTGTCCAAATCCTAATGGGGCTTGGGGAATGCCCAAACCTAACTTAGGATGCTTGTCCTGCATCTCCAGGATAGCAGGAACCTAGCAGAGAAGCCCAGGTCTGAGCAAACAGCCCCCAGATGGCCTTCAGTGCCCAGGCAACCCACTTCTAGCTACTCACCCAAGCAGCAGCCTCTCCATCCCCGTAGAGAGCCCAAGGCTGATGGTATAGAATCCCACAAGAGACAGCTATGGAGAGAATGGGGGAGGGCTTGAGTGCCTCCCAAGTGGAACAGATCAACCCCAGATCATTTCATAGAAGGCTGTTTTAGGACTGCTCACAACCTAAATCTGAGCAGGTGTACTTCAAGGAGTGGTCACTGGGTGTCACCTTTGCTTCCTAGGTATGTGCCCTCATCTGTGAGCTACTGCTGGGGCATGGTGGAAAGAGAAATTCCTTCTTTGAAACTCAGTTTACAGGCCTGACACCTTTTGTGTCTTCTATGAACCCCACAATGTCTTCACCCTTTTTATCCCCTGTCCCTCCGGGCTGACCTGGATGGCACCATCCATCATGGAGTTGCTCCCTGGCCCCTCTCTCCTTGCTAGCTTGGAGCAGATACCAGCAGCTGAAGAAGATCACATGGCAAGATTGGCCTTGCTGTTGGTTCGTGATCACAGACCATGAACAGGCACACATTGCTGGTGAGCCATCTCTCCACAGGGATCCAAGTCTCACTCTTCTATTCCTTTAGACAATGACTTCATATTGTCAACCCTCCCACATCCCTCTTGCACTCTGTCTTCCTTCCAAAAGAAAAAGAAACAAGTACTGACTTCCTCATCCTTTCACCATGAAATCTCTATACTTGCCAGTGTTCGTACACACCCTCTCTTCTTCCACTTCTGCTCTGAATCCAACCCTCCCTCCCTCCCACCTTCTCAAGATCCTGGATCCTTTGCCTTTTTCTACCTTCTTCTGAATTACTATCTCAGTCTATCCTGCCAAATTCCCATCAGCAAACAATTGAGCTCATCTTAAATCTCTCTCTCTGCATACCAAGTGACTCTGGCTACCAGCCGCTGTCTCGGTTCCCTTTTAGCACTAAATTTCTCCTTTTGTCTCAACACCATCTGAAAAGATGTCTCTACTGACCATCTCCATTCACTCTTCTACCTGCTCAAATTTGCCTGATGCCCACCTTGCTCCAGAGAGTTGACTTCTCAAGGTCACTATGATCTCCATGTCCCCAAACGCAGTGGATGTCCATGTCTCCTTCTAACTCTCTCCCCAGGATGGTGCACAGCAGACAGACCACTCTCTCTCCTCTTGGGTTCCATAGCCCCACCCTCTTCTGATTTCTCAGATTTCTCCTCCTTGGTGTGTCTGTTCTCTACCATCTGATTCTAAATACTACAATTTCTTTAACCTTGATTATGAAAAGTTTCTCTCTTCCATTTTACCTCATGCTTCTAGGTTATCACACCCATTCCTGCTGATTTATATATTTATCACCTTTTATGCAATGATGCCCAAATTTGTATCTTTGGTCCAGTCCTTTCTATTTGGCATCTCTGTTTGCAGGTTTCACTGGTATTGAAAACTTAACATGTCCAGAATGGAATTCCCAATTTTCACCTCTCCCAAAACACCTGTCCTCCTTCCTCCAGGCTTCTCCAGCCCTGAAGCTGGTACCACTGTCCACCACACTGCTCAAGCCCCAAAGCGGGGAAGCATCACTATTTCCTCACTGCTCACATCCATCCCGTTAGCAAATCATATTGATTCTCAGATTCACTTCAGATCACTTCTCCTCATCTTGTGTACCACCCACACTCATGAGGGCCACCATCATCTCTCTACTAAAGCCATACACAATATTTCTAACTAATCTTCCCATTGGCACACTCTTCAATCTATTCTTGACATAGCAACAGCAGTGATAGAAAAGTTCTGTATCTTAATCTGGATACATATATGTAAAACTTTGATGAGGTGTGTTCACATTTGTACACTTTACTGTAGGATAAACCTCAACCAGAAAAATAAAAAATGAACAAGATGTCAATCCCCCAGTTAAAACCCTTCAGTGGCTTCACACGGTCTTCGGAATAAAATCAACCCTGCAGGACTTGGCCCCAGCCTTTTCCTCCAACATCATTGCCTACTGTACTTATCCCTTGCTTGCCAGAACCCAGCTGCCATGACTTTCATTAATTTTCTCTAACAGGCTAAAGCTTTCCTGCCTGCCTCAGGACCTTTGCTCAGGCTGTTCCCTCAGCCCAGAATCCTTCGCTATGCTCAGCACCTTTCTTCCTTCACATCACCTACCTAGGCTTACCCAGACCACCACGTCTAAAATATATCAGCCCATTTATTCTTCCTCCTTCTACATTACTGTATTTTTATAATGCTACTATTGTATTTTTATAATGCTACAATGTTTTTCCACACTTGGGACCAGCTTCCACATTTGACAGACCCTCATTACACCCATGCTATTATGCTAAGTGCTACATAGATAACCAACAACATGAGTCTTCTGTTCAAAGAACGACAAAAAAAATCCTTTTTTATTGTTGTTGTTCTTTTAAATCTAAGTAGATGTGCTTAAAAAAAAAAAAAATCATCAGTTCATTCCAGTGCAGCAGTCTCCACCCTGGGGCTGAAGATGGGAGAGATGAGAGATCATGAGTACACGGTGTGATGGGTTGCATTATGTCCTCCAAAAAGACAATAGGTAAGTTCAAACGGGAGAAGCATGCCTCAGAAAAATTTTAAAGCCATAAACAACAAGCATAACAAAATGCCTTATTTATTTTTTTACAAATTAAGTCAGAGGCTAAAAACACAGGATCCAGAGACCAGGTGTGTAGCACCAAGACTCCTGTTGCAACAGGTATCTATCAGATACCTTGCCTTCCAACTCAGTCCTCTGACCCATCTGATTATTTTTGACAAGTGCAATCATTTCAACAACAGAGCCATTCAGAACACTTCATTTATACAAAAGCTCTTCCAAGAGGATCTCTGCTTAACTGCTCCAAGGATCTCTCTGCTGGTGACAGCTCTTCTGTGGTTGTAGAAGGACAGTCTGACTGCCTCCAGGCTAACCCGTTCCAGCAGCCAATCCTCCAGAGAGCCCAGTGCATCCAAGATCCAGGAGCATCCACTGAAGTCTGGGTGAGTCTGGGAAAGAAATGGCACAAGGGTAAAACAGTGAAGTGAAGGCTTGTTAAAAAGTAAGCAATTTATGGTCTAACCCAGCACCCATGCCTTCCATGGATTGGTGCACACGTGGAGCCACACGACCCACCTGGAGGTACAATGGTAGGAATGTGATGAAAGAAATTAGGCCATTGTACCTATCAACTGTCTGAGGAAGATCGGGGAGGGGGATTGTGTAGCTGGTGAGAAAAATCACCCTTATCTGTGGAATACAGACTAACTCTGGTCACTTAAATTTCGTGCCTCGATTTTCCCCAACAGAAGTGGAGTTAACACCCAACACCTTTGGAAGATGGAAAATATAATTTTAGAGTAGACATGCACACTCTATATTTCACATTAATGAGTTTTTTTTTTTTTAAACACTTCTCAGTTTGCAGCCTTACATCCTTGCACCAACATGATCTCTAGCCACTCTGGGAAAACTCACTCTTCCTCGGATGTGTCCCTATTGTTTCCGGTCTCCACACCACTGTCGCTCTGTCACCCCTACCTACCATGTCCACACCCAACCCCACCTTTCAAATCCTATCCACCCTTGAAAGCTCTTCTCCAGGTGCCCCCTCTAGCTTATATGTGTTCCACACAACCTCCCACTGAGGACCAGGGCTCTTTGCGTTCTCAGAACCTGTATCACACGCCGCCTTATATCATTAACAACCTTGTCTAAAGTTAGAGAGGCAGCTGGACTAGTCAGAAGAACGCTGCCCTGAGAATCGCCCACCCAGGGCTCTAACCTTAGCTCTGTGCGGGTATGAGATGTCACGTAAGCAAGTAATGGTCTCACACTGGACCTCCGTTTCTCTTTTGTAAAAGGAAAGTCTTGAAGCAGGAATTGAAAAGTTCCTCCTGGTTCTAATAATTTAGGAGTATTTCCTCAATGCCCCCATCTTGCAGGACTGGGAGCCCCTTTGTGATAGAGACCACATTGTTTTCATCTGAGCTTCCCCAGCAGACCTGGCTTGCACGGAGACACTCACTACGTTTATCAAGCCAGCATCTTGTTTTATCCTCACAGCACCACGAGGGGCTTGCCCAAGGCACAGCCCTGACCCTTGGGACGCTTGCAGAAGCAGAGTGGCCTGCCAGACCCATTCAGTAAAAGGACAGGACTAATGATTAGAGGGTGAAGCGTAGTCCAAGTACTCCTACAGAGAGCCCTTCCAGAAAATGCAGTGGAGGTTCTCAACTGGGGGCAATGTCTCTGGGCATTTTCAGGTGGGAGGGAGGCTGCTACTGGCATCCATGGGACAGAGGCCAGAGATGCTGTCCCGTATCCCACAATGCTCAGGACAGCCCCCCAACAAAGAATTAAGCAGTCCCAAATGTCAATAGTGCTGTGGTTGAGAAACCCTGCTCTAGATCACATACCTTCCTTCCTTTCTCCTATCTTTCCTTAATCCCATTTCCCCATTCTTCTCACAGGATAAACAACAGATTCCAAATGATACCACTGGAATACAGGGGGTTTGGATACAATCACACATGAACACTCAGCCTTGCTTCATTGTCATGAAGAAAATCCAAAATCAAGCCTTAGTCCATCTGTCGTAAAATCTCCTTATTCTGTTCCCCATAGCTTCTTTTGAAGGGGAAGACTTTTCTGAGTTTGTTCTCTGCAATTTTACGCTATGGGGTAAGGCTGGGTGGGCAGGAGGAAGGAATGAAAGCCCACCCTAAATTTTAGGTACATTCTAAGTACAGAGCACTATTTAGTGAAAACCTGACATATGTCATTCTTCAAAGAATAAGATGAGACTAGGTGGTGAATCCCCTCTCTATAAGAGGGCATTTAAGAATCAATTTATAGATTGCCTGTCAACAGATACGAGACACTGGGAGCTCAGGTGTTCAGAGTTGCTACCAACAGGAAGCAAGCCAAGCGGGAAAAGATAGCAACCATTAGCAGTTCCAGTTTATAGAAGCTATGTGCACACAACTTTTCAGGAACTTGAGGTGTGAAGAAGCGCTCCCGTATGAGAAAAAGCCGCAGTCGAAAAAACACACTCAGGGCCTCTAAAATGATAACCTGTCTCGGCCATTCTAAGTCTCCACAAAGAGAGCCCCAACTCACTTGCTTCACGATTTTCCCCATGTAACTAAAATAGGCCTCCTTCTTCTTCCTCCTCTTCTGCCTCAAGGCTGAGTTGGCCTGCTCATATTTCTCTTTGGCTGGGATATAAAGTGTAGTCCTCTTCTTAGGGAATCTCGGGCCATGTAAGCAAATGTAGTACATTTGGAAGCCTTAATCCTTACACTTCTAGATTATAGCAGCGGCTGTAGGCAAGCAACCAACCCCCACCCCCACCCCCCGGAAGAGGTTTTATAGGGAGAGCTGGAAGGCACTCTTTCCTAATAAAATCAGTGATTAGTGATTGCACCTGCCAGAGATGAATACTCTCAGAATACTTAAGAAATATTAGGTGTAGAGTCTAAAACAGGCTTACGGTACATTCCAGAAAGGGGCTTGAGGTGGGAAACTCAAAATATTAAGCTTTCCTCTGCTCTAGCCCATGCGATAGTGAAGATGACCACTTTGATGTAATGGCTATTAATTTACCAGGCAACACTGATCTCCAAAGCTATTCCTTTTACGTGTTGGAGTAACTCCAGGTGTTCTTATTATAGTGGGCTCTTGGCCGCAAAAATTTCAATTCAAAAAGACTGGGAGTGGAATCTGGGAAGCCGAAGTTTTTGCTAAAGCAGCCCTGGTAAATCTAAGGACCAGCCAGATTTAGGATTCACTGGTCTAAAAAACCTTCCTGAAGCAACTGCACAGGACCAGGGGTTGGGGTGAAAGGAGCAGCTCTGCACGGATGTGCTCTGGGTATTTGCATTTGCACCCGGAGGACGGCCTGGTGTATGCCACAGCAATTAGGAATTCAGGTGACAAAGCAGGAATAGGGAAGCCAGGAAGTCACCGTACCTTCAAGAGTGAAGGTTGAGAAACTGTAGATAGAGAGGCCGTGAACTCCCTGCAATTAGTATTATCAGCTCAGCTACAAGGAAGTGACCAGCCTGACACGAATCAACAGATAAGAGAACACCAGAGAGCCAGGGTGTCAAAGGAAGAAAAGAACCAGATGACAAGAGACTCCTTCCTTTCTCAGTGATGAGCCGCACTGAAGCCCAGGTGCCGGGGACTGGTGGGTTCTGATAGGACTGTCAGCTCCCAGCTATTGAGCCTGATGTCCCAGTCCCCACACGAAGCGCTGGACATACTTTATTGCATGTAATTCTCATGGCAACATTAGGAGGTAGGATATTAGTATTACTCTCACTTTACAGAAGAAGAAACTGAGCCTCAGAGGGCTCGAGGGACTTGCCCAGATGGCAGAACCAGCCCCTGAGCCTCTGCTTCTAATCCCATGCTCTACCATCTTCCAAACCCAAACACCAGAGCCCCCCCATCCTTCCAGTTACACGTGTGCACTCTGCACAGCTGCTGCATGTATTTATTCATTGATGGAGCACTTGGAATGTAGCCTGTCCATAGTGCAGGCTCAATTCCCCTGAATAATTCTTTGCTAACAACAACAGAACTCCACTGAACACTTCTGTGAAAGGAGAAAGCGGTTCCCTATCACCCACCTGGCTGTCAAAGCATGTCCCCACCCACCGCTTCAACTCCTACTCTCTTTTTACTGGCTTCATCTCTCACCTCTCTAGTTAAAAAGGCAATGTATGCACAGAGCATATTTTATATGATGAAATGAACTGGAAGTTTTTTTGTTTTGTTTTTGTTTTTAAAGATTTTATTTATTAGAGAGAGTGTGTGGACACAAGCAGGGGGAGGGGGCAGAAGGAGAAGCAGGCTTCCTGCTGAGCAGGGAGCCCAACGTGGGACTTGATCCCAGGACCCTGGGATCATGACCTGAGCTGAAGGCAGATGCTTAATTGACTGAGCCTCCCAGGCGCCCCTGAACTGGAAGTTTTAATGCAACAAAGTAAATATAAACTGGCAGAAATCATTGTCTCGGTGGGATGGCGCTCTTCACTGGTCCGAGCCAATGGGGAACCAAACCAACACTATAACATCCAGAAGATGCTTGAGAGCACAGGCGAAGGGTGAGAACAGAGGTGGTGTTGCCGTGGGAGTATAGCACAGAAGGCTTGGGCAGATGGCACTCACTCATGCAAAAATTTTGGGCGCCTGGGTGGCTCAGTTGGTTGAGTATCTGCCTTTGGCTCAGGTTATGATCCCGGGGTCCTGGGATGGAGTCCCGCATCGGGCTCCTTGCTCAGTGGGGAGTCTGCTTCTCCCTCTGCCCCCGCCTCTGCTCGTGCACACCCGCACACGCTCTCTCTCTCAAATAAATGAAATCTTAAAAAAAAATAGCAAATTTTGATCCCCTACTAAGTGCAAGGCCCATGGCTATGCATGGAAATGGCAATAAATTACTGAGAAGAATCATGAAACTGACATAGGAGAAAGTCATGGGGTAATCAGAAGACTCACCAGCATCTATTAGAAATCTGAGTCAGCTAAAAAGGACATGCAATAAATTGCCTGTTAATAAGTTCCCTATCCTGAAGATAAAAGAAGCAGTTACACTAATAGCAATGCTAACTTGTATTTATCGAAGGCTCAGTACTTGCCTTGAATTATACAAAGCACTATATAGACATCTCGTTTCATGGTTTTAATACTCAGAGATAGATGTTATCATCTCTTTAAGAGAGATGAGGAGGGGCGCCTGGGTGGCTCAATAGGTTAAGCAGGTGCCTTTGGCTCAGGTCATGATTCCAGGGTCCTGGGATCCAGCTCCGAATCGGGCTCCCTGCTCAGTGGAGAGCCTGCTTCTCCCTCTGCTCCCTCCACCCCCCCACCCCCCACCAATCCCACTCATGCTTGCACACACTCTCTCAAATAAGTAAATAAAATCTTTTTTAAAAAGAGAGAGAGATGAGGAAACCAGGGCTTATAAAGATAAACTAATTTGTTCAAGGTTACACAGGTAGTAAGTTGCAAAGCTAGGAACTGAACCCTGATGTGTCTGACACCAAAATTCCCATCATTATTTCTCAAGTTAGGCCTCCTGCCCACCTGCAGCAGAGTCTCCTGAGCTGCTTATTAAAATGAAGATCCAGGGCACCTGGGTGGCTCAGTCATTGAGTGTCTGCCTTCGACTCAGGTCATGATCCCAGGGTCCTGGGATCGAGCCCCGCATCGGGTTCCCTGCTCAGCGGAAAGCCTGCTTCTCCCTCTCCCACTCCCCCTGCTTGTGTTCCCTCTCTCGTTGTGTCTCTCTCTGTCAAATAAATAAATAAAATCTTTAAAAATAAAATAAAATGAAGATCCCCAACCCCTGTCCTATACCTCGGTACAGGTATCTAAAGCTTGGGTGCCACTATACACCATTGCCTCCTGAGTCTGGGGAAAATGCTGCTCTGATTGGAACCCTACTCAGTTACAGGAGAGTTAGAAAGGGTAGGGACACTAGGAGAAAGTGATTGTGATGTGGCTAAGCACAGACAGACCTTAAACACTGAGAAAGCAGACTTTACAGAGATTAACATAATAGTGTTGGAAATCTATGGATAGAAACTCTAAGAGGGAAGTCTACTCAAGAAAATTAGAAGGCTGTTCCTTAACCGGCCATGAACTTGGCCTCCCTCCTTGATTATAATTCACTTCAACCTGGTCCTATCTTGGTGGAATATCAGCTCCAAAGGACAAACAAGGCTCATAAATAGGGATAATGAGTAACAAGAGCAAAAGACGGGACAATTGGAATTCAGGGCATGGAGTGAGTCTGGGCTGTGACTTGAGGAGTAAGCCTGAGTTAAAGGGTGTTGGAGTTGCTTTTATGCAGAGATGTCTACATGGCATGGGGGAGGCCTAATGAGTCAAATGGCCGAGGTAGATCCAGGTATTGCAGCACATTGTAGAGGGGATTTGGACATTGGGTGGGATATTAGATTATATGGCCTCTGAGGTCTCCTAGGTTTTGTGGATTCTACTTTCCCCCTGTATCATTTTTTTAGGGGTCAGGTTGGCAGAATTTGAATAGAAGTATTGCTCAGATTGTTTCTACCTCTGGATAGTCTGCAGAATTAATCCCGTTGAATGGAAAGAGTCAGAGGTTCACACGGTGCATTTTAACATCATTGTATTTTGTGATCTTAATTCTAGGAGATGAATACTGCTACAGCTCACCTGTTGAGAAACTCTGGGTGGATCGCAGGAGGAGAGAGGATCTGGGGGGCAGATTAGAAGATGTCACCTTGGGAATGATGTCACACTCTTCCTGTGTGTCAGCTCTGTAGCTACTAATTGAATATTAATGGTGGATGATATTAGTACTGACTACTTGCTATTTTGTCAGATGGAGGGAAGAAAGGAATCCAAGTTTTTCCCAGCCCCAGCAATATCTTATTTAACCTCTCTGCCAAGCTTTTAGAGGAGGAGAAAAAAGTACAGAGGAAAGAAGGACATCCAGCCCCCTCCATTCAGAAATACAGGTAGGGAGACTAGGGTTAGAGAAGATCTAGGGTGCTGCCCTCCCTTGCTTCTCTATCATCCCCCCCATCTTGTCTCACAAATGAACATCCCCATTGGGTAGTGGAGACTACCCACCATTCAAATCAGAAGCTTTAAGTTCTGGTCCTAGCTCTACCAGCGCCTCGCTCTGACCTAGTTGAGGGTAGCTGCTCTTCTCGGCTCTCAACCAGGGGGTATGCATTTGATTATAGAACCATTAAGACTCCTTAGAATCTCGCTATTCAAAGTATGGTCTGCAGGGGCGCCTGGCTGGCTCCGTTAGTAGAGCATGTGACTCCATATCCGAGTTGTGAGTTCAAGCCCCACATTGGGCATAGAGATTACTTAAATAAAATAATAATAATAATAATAATAATAATAATAATAATAAAAGGTCTGGTCTGCAAACCAGCAGCAGTGGCCCTTGGGGGTCTTGTCAAAATGCAGATTTTGATTCAGTAGGTTGGAGGTGGGACCTGAGGCTCTGCATTTCTAACAAAATCCCATGTGATTCTTATACACTTTAAACTTTGATACATCCTGCCTTAAGACGCCATCCATCCATGAATCCATTGTGGATGTGCCTTGTTGTTCTCCCTCTCGTGGGTTTCTAAAACACCCCCAAGTTTTCTAGCTCTAGGACTACTTCCAATGGCCAGAATAGCTTGAGAGTTAGTGATTTTCTGGCTTGGGGCTTAGAGAAATGCCACATGTTCCTTGAAATATAATACTACACCTACACACATCCATTT